ATTTTGTCTGCCAACTTTTAAATAGCGAATCAAAACAAACATAGTGTAGTACTAGAATGTCGACTAGAATGCGAACGTTAATCGGTTTGCTTGGGACCAATAGGCTAGTCAAGTAGTGAGTTAATTTAAAATCGTTAGTTTCCACCGGTTGATACAAGCCCTTACACCTGATACCCCGACTCACCCCTGGATACAGGGTATCGTTGAGGCCACACCCCCGAACACGGTGTTCACCTGGATCCCTGGGCACTGCGGTATCCCAGGAAATAGCGAAACCGACAGCCTGACAGGGTCTAGACCAGCTTGCCCTTGTTACACCGACGAAGTGCGATTGCAAGACTTTATGTGATGGTTAACAAAATGTGGGAAGCCTGGGAAGTAGAGTGGTGCCAATCCCAATCCCTCTTCATCCGATGAATCAAAGTAACGACGAGCGAGTGGACGGATATGCCGAAACCGAGGCCAAAACTACGGGACCAGAAAGTGGTTTCTTGTCTTAGGACAGGCCATACAAGGATCTCACATAGTTTTGGTGGGACGCAGTTCCACAGAATGTGCGACGTTTGCGGAACCACTGCATCGGTGGAACACACCTATGCCTGTGTCCGCAATACCAACAACAATCAATTCGAAACTAACGATTTTTAATTAATCATGTTTTGTTGTTTTTGACATCACCCACATCCAGAGGTCCAGTCACTTCGAATGTATGGGAATGGTAGGAAACCATTTGGAAATGCATGAAAATTTTCAGTTTTTATTCATTGTCGTCTTTATGGGCAGTTTTAGATGCACAAAAAATGCCCGAGTACATTACTATGGTGATAAGGTAAACACTCGTTTATTTGTTTCCTTCTGTAAAAGCATGTTCAGTCACAAATCGTGGATTTTCTGATATTCTCCATACTGCAAAAATGATTTTCCTACCACTGAAGGGACGACATCTCTCGGATCTTCAGTAAAGCGACTACTCAAATCATATAATTAATTGGGTCACTACTTGACTAGCCTATTGGACCCAAGCAAATTGATTAACGTACCCCATTCTAGTCGAAATTCCAGTGCTACACTATGTTTGTTTTGATTCGCTATGAAAGTTTGACAGATAAAATGAGGGGTTCGTAGATTTTCCTATGTTTCGAGGGATGCATCGATTAGCTTGGGACCGAAGATAGTACCAGAGCTGAGCCAAAAAGTTGAGCTCGTTTATTCGGGACCTTCTGATCTTAGAGTTACCTTTATGATATCAACATTTGCGGGAGCAGTATGCACTTCCCAACAGCATTAGGGACATCCTGGACGATGAACCTTTCACTTTAGCGACAGTTCTTTACTTCCTTAAGGACGCTGGACTATACAACAACATTTAGGTCCCTTTAATTTTTTTTTACTTTCGGGACATCTCTGTCAGACGGTGGCTTACTCCTCCTACGGTGGAGCTCTGATCTCGTTCAGAACCCTACCCATATTGCATTATTTTCGTTGCCTGTATTGTTAGTCATTTACTGGAATCTATTTTAATCGTTTCTCTTTGAGTACACGTGAAGTGTAAGCCAACTCCGTAACAACATTTATTAGAGATGAACTAGTCAACGGCTAATACCCTGGACAGACTATGGCTTATATCATGTAATATAAGCTGTCTTGCAATGAGCACTCATACATCTAGTTTTCACTGGAAATCCTATGTATGAGTGCTCATTGCAAGACAGCCTATATTACATGATATAAGCCATAGTCTGTCCAGGGTATAAAAATCTCTCTAATAAAAAAAGAAATAATATCTTCACAAAACGTAAAACATCTTCAAAATGTCAGCCTGAACAAAAAAATCTCTAAATAATATTCGAACATTCCTGTTTAATGTTGTTATTATCGATCATACGATTTTCGGACAGGAATTTGTCGAGGCCATTAGCTTCAAAATTTATTTTCGATCTGCTGTTTGATAAAAAAAAAACTTATTTAATTCAGAAATTTTTCCTCCTCTCAGGATTTATTTAGTGGAAAATGCAACCTTTGTCAACTGCTGAGTACGGTGCTGGTCATGGCTACCACGATGTTGATTTCCTATTGGATTGTTGTTTTATAACTCGATGGTCCCTCTAATATCAAGTTGTAGAGAGTTCACTGTAAAATAATCATACAAATCTAATAAACTTTTATTACTATCAGCTAAATTTATTGGAATATTCATGTCTCCAAACAAGCTTGGAAATGCTCATTTCAGTTTAAGGGGGATTTCCGGTTCAATTGACCTAAACTTTGGATTTTTTTTTTCCAGGGAACTGGTAAGAGTTAGAGACCTGAGTTTTTTGTCAAATCTTTTTCATTCTTGCTCTACAACTGGGAATTTTTTCAAGTCCAAAAATCCAAAATGGCGTCCAATATGGCGGCTGCCCGGCGGGTACTTCCCAAAACTGCGAGCAGCCTAGAGGTCGCAAATCGTCACCTAGAAAGAAAATCGGCTCAGTTTCTTGAAGAGTATAGTTCAGAGAATGGAATGAACTAGAATCTTTGAAAAATCTCAAAATTTGACAAAATGGCGGGCATTTGAAAAAAGTCATTTACCTAGTTACCGCCATTTTGTCAAATTTTGAGATTTTTCAAAGATTCTAGTTCATTCCATTCTCTGAACTATACTCTTCAAGAAACTGAGCCGATTTTCTTTCTAATCTTTGGATCGACCAAGTAGAAGGCGACCTGCTGACCCTTCGCAGACTACGAGGCTGGCGACGTGTGGCCATGGATCGAGTAGAGTGGAGACGACTTCTTCGGAAAGCAGAGGACAACAAGGCCTTAGCCTGATTGGTAATGTAAGTACAATGATTGGTAATGTAAGTACAAAATTCCTTTCACGTATATAATGTTTTATACAGCTTCTCAAAATGCTTCGAAATTCCCAAAACTTTTACAAAGTTTGCTGCACTTCTACGTTTCTCGTTGATTTTCCGCGAAGTTCTACGTATGGAATTTTTTGAACTTGTACGTAATTCCCTTAACTATTCCAAGCTCATGAGGCTTCAAAAAAGTATGTAGTTAGTCCTGCTAAATTCCAGACTCCAAGTGATACGTAAGGATAATTCCAAGGTAGTCTTGAGTAAAATCTCAAGAGGATCATGAGTAGGATTCAATGTAAATTGTCAACAGAATTCTGAAGAGGGTTCCAAGGTCCTAAGAGAATTCCAAGTGAGTTTTAACTAAAATTTCAAAGGAGTTTTGAGTACACTGAGGCAAAGGAACGTAATAATTCCATAAGAACCACTTATGAATTTTCGACAAAAAGATTTCTTTTGAAAATCATGAGTTAGCTTATGAAGCTTAAAAACAGTAATATACAATCTAGGAGACCGCAATCGAACCCTGAGCGTTCAGATTATTGACTCCGTGATTTGCTCTCGCACTTCTGTTAACGCTTGGGAAATTGAACAGGTTAAAAGCGTTTAAGAACAATACTTGTACTACCTACCTTTTGTAGTACGATAATCATTCATAAGTCTATGTGTCTTATGGAATCAAATTTGTCCAGCTTCATAAGTCATGTCTTATATGGAATTCTTAGGGTTTGTTTGCCTCAGTGTATGATTCTACGAGATGTGTATAAAGCCCTCTAGTTAAAGTATGGACGACTGTCACCAAAAAACTGAAAAAGCTGTTCCAATCGAGCAAAGCGGTGCATTTTGACGGTTCGATTGGAACAACTTTTGACAGACGTCCATACTTTTACTGTAGGGCTTTAGATGTGTAAGGAGAACTCGAAGGTACTTGTGAGTGGAATTGCAAGAGAACGGAGAATATAAAGGGAATTCTGAAATGAATTCAATTAAATTTGAATACTTAAGGTAATTTCTGTAATTATTTTTAGAGAACTGAAAGTAGAGTTTCTTGGAAATTCTGAGGAGCATTGAATGGATTTTACTGGACTACTTCAAGAGAATTCTTTGTGGAATTTTGGGGAAATTCCGAAGATAATTCCTTGAGAGTTTTAGAAGAATACTTTTACATACCGCAAACGGCTGAAAATCTCCTTTAGGGAACATGCATAAATGACGTAGCATTTGAGGGGGGAGGTAGGGGTTTCAGAATTTGTGACCGGCCATGTATTGGATATAGCCAAATACGCTACGAGGGGGGGGGGGGAGGGGTCTAAAATTGATCAAAAATATGCTACGTTATTTATGGATGCTCCCTTACAAAGGAAATCAATCAATCAATCAAATTCGCATCGATCACCACCCCATAGAAGGTCTCTTCAATATCAAGTTAAGGAGGTGACTATTATTAATACGAATTCTACATTCTAGATGAAGTGGAATCCATTTGTGTGCTTTTCCGCTCAAATGGAATTTCTTGACAGAAACTTAAACAGCGAAAACTGGGGATTCAAAACAAGAACACACAGTTGTTTTGAATTTCAACTTTAATATTGTAAATAGAACATCTCCTCTTCTATGCTGACGTCCGATAGGATTGAGCATCAATTCGATTCCTTCTTGCCTACCTCTGGCAGTGGATTGATTTCCACCTAATATAATATAAACTGGATTACTATTGACTGCAACAGTGTTACCAACAACCTGTGGTTCAACAGATTGTTGCTGTTGAGGCCGGTGATGGATTCCATTATCCACTAGGATAAACATAAGTTTGGACGGACCAGCCGCATTTATGTTCGTACCAGCGACCAGAGCTCTGGTCACGGAACAGTCCTTATGCAACGAGAGAGCACTTTTCAGCTGAGCGAGCTCGGTTTTGAGCTGCAGATTTTCCTGTTGTAACTCCACGTTCTTCCGGTGGACACAATCCTGATTCTGCTTCACACGGGTTCTATAAAAGGAAGTGGATGTATTAACTCGAATTCGTCAAACTGTGTCGATATAGGTGGGTTGCATACCGATACCGCTTGGCCGCCGCTTTCCACCGTTCATGCTTTAGAATTGTTGTTTACAAGGCTAACTTATGCGATACACTTCCGCGTACGAACCGATAGCTATGTTGATTGCGTATTTTTATTTGTCATATCGACTCACATCTCGTCTGTGATTAATAGGTGTATAATGGTTGCATACGTTTAGGCGCAAACAGTTACTAAATGCTGAGAAATGCAATTTAGAAAATTAAAGCACTGCATTCATCTTCACAGTTCAAGATCAAATTTACTCACAATTCATAACCTGACCAGATAAACCTAACATATCATAAAAATACCGATCTAATTCATAATACTTCTAAAATGACGCCTGATATACGCTATTATTTATCATCAAAAAGATTAGGTAATAGTTCAAATATCAACCACCTTCGACCGCTCACATTAGCATCTTCGTCATCAGGAGCTCCACCTGACTGAGCCGAATTCGCACCTGCTGATTCCAAACGCTCTTGACACACTCATCCACGATTCCTGGAATCTCCTGACGAGCCCTTTGTACGCGTTCTTTGTAGTAGTTTGCCTTGGATTCTGTATATCTTGCCAGCTTATCGGCACTGATCGTTACCCGATCCGACCTACAATGGAAATACATCGTGTGAGATTTACCATTTACCTTACAAATCAACCCATAAGCATACTTCTCTACTGCATCGTTGCACAGTTCGGCCAGTTCGGTAAGAAGTTCATCCAATCTATCTTCCAGCGACATGATTTCGACGCATTTTTGATTGATCTCTTTTATGTGGAGCCCGGAAAGATCAGGTTCGAATGCCGCCTTCATTCCTGCCAGTTTGTCCACCTTTTGCTCGAAGTCGGACAACGATGGGTTCAGCTCCTGATGTAATTTGGCGCTGAATTCGTCAATCATCATAGCGTCCATTGCAGGAGGATTGTTGAATAGAGCCGCCTGTACGATCGATCTATTAGTTTTATTCTGGTTCCCTGCACCACTGGTCGAAACATGTTTCGTTGAATTCATGTCGTTGGCACGCTTTTCCGAATCCTTGCGTTCTTTTTGGTTATTGCAATCAAAACGAACCGGCTGAGCTTTCGGCGTGGCTGGATAATACGGTGGTTGCATCTCATTCAACACAACGCTACCCTCTGACAACTGCAAATCAATCGAATCATCTCTCAATGATGGAGGATTGGCAGTATCATGGCCAACGCGAATATTTTCACTGAGGACAGACTCATTGCCATCGTTTGGCAGCTTGGTTGCCAAATGGGCAGGAGAAACCTCTTCGTCGCTGTTATAGGTTGGATCGTTGTTCGAAATGAACTTTTTCAGCGTGTACCGATTAGCAGCGTAGTTCATATTGAACTTCGAAGCGAACACGTCAGCGTTAGTTTTTGATTGACTTTCAACCGCCGGGACGGGCAGAGGACTTGGATTGACTTCGAGGGACTGTGAAATCGGTTCATCGCTATCGAAGCTTTGGTACTGGCGAATCATGGCTTCCGTCAATGTAGGCGGTTCCATAGGTAACTGGTTATGGGCGCCCGGAAACTCCATGGAAATTTCAGTACGCACACTGTGGTCCGAAATAGACGATGAAGTTTGCAGAGATTGTGCTGAAACGAGTACGAGATAAACAAAATCAATGCACATCTAAATTTAAAGCGAATTAAGCGCTAATAGATAGTATTGCTTCAACTTAGGTATTTATTTGTGTTTCATTTGTTTCTAACCATCCGAGTTTATTGTCAGTTACAAAGTTTGTCCCTTGCAAGATAACGCAAGGTAACACTATTTTGATACATGTTCCAATTTGAACCGACAACAAACTCAATATTATACTGACAGTATAAAATTGTGTAGTCGCTAATATTCGTTCCTAACTTAACTTAACTGCCCATAAACGCATAACAGTCCAATCTTTGCTTGATTGCCTATTTAAATGGGACTGTTATGCGTTTATGGGTTAGGATCTTACGATCCTTAGATAAGCAGAATAGTACTGTTGAATTAGAGAATCACCCATATTCTCTATGCCGTTCAAAACGGATTTCTCATATAAAAGAAATATGGGAAATCCGTTTCGAACGGAATACAGAATAGGGATGAATGAAACATCCAGACAGAATCATTGATCTGCCCTAATTTAATTTACCTTTGTACTTTTCCTGCTCGATCAAAGCGGCCGCCGTCTGCTGTAGAGCACTCGGAGTTGAACTCTTCTTGTAATTCCGACGCGTTACAATAGTGCTATTGTTAGCATTGATTTCCAACAGAGGAACACGCTGTTTCTTGGCCACCTTTTCCTGTTTCTGCTGTGCATCTACTATGTGATCAATCGAACGCTTCTTGCTTTTTGCTCCCCCGACCGGTGTTGATTTGGCAAATAGCTGCTGGGCAACGGGGTTCTTCGGCTTGGCTGGATCTCGAACAATCGAAGAGATGTCCAGGTTCTGGAAGGTATTCCCAATCACAACAGCTTCCTCTTCCGAATCTGATGCCAAGTCGATGATACGATCAGGCTTCTTGGCGCGAGGTAATGAAGCTCGAGATGGCACTAGAGGGTCTGCTGCCTTTGGAGATGTTTGCTTTTTACCTTTTTTTGAAGAGGTGGGCTTAGCGTTCTTAGTGCGAAGAGACTGGTTTGCAACGTTTTTGGCTTTCTTCACCGACGAAACATGTCCATCGTTTGTTTTCGGTGACTTTCGTTTTCCTTTGCCAGCGGCGGATTTTCCACCTTTTCGGGCGGTTTGATCATTGTCATCCGTATTGACGAAATCGTAAGGATTCTCCGGAGCTGGTTCACGCTTGAAGAATTTCTTTGTGGTACGTTCCACCATCTGATTGATTTTTCGGATGTTCTTTTCCAGTTTTGTGTCCAAAATTTTCTGCTGTGCGATTCCAAATATGCCGTTATGGTCGATGAACGCCTGAAGGGATCGATCAAACTCGTCGTTGGACATCATTTCCGATGTGGATGGTTCACTTAAAAGATCAATTCTTTCTTCGCCAATATTTTGGATCAATTTCAAAGGTTTCACGTCCAACGTCTGGATGGGTTTCACGGTATTCACCAACTTCCTGTCGACATATTTGCTGCGTTGAATCTGCGAATCATTGCTAACGTTCATGTTATCTGGTTCCGCTTGCTTAGCGAACAGTTTTCGTTTCTTGCCGTCATTCAAACGAGGATTAACCGGCTCGTTCTTCTGATTGCATTTGTCCGGAGAATTTCGTCTCGAGCTACGACTCAGCCTTGTCTGCTGACGTTGACAGTCTTGCTGGAGCGTTTCAAACACTCGCAAACGCTGAACATCCTGCACCTCAACCCTAACATCTGAAATTGACGGGGGTTTTACATTTTCCTTGTTGCTTCCAATCGAGCTGGTGTTGTCCAACATCTGACATCGGATATTGCGGTGCTTTTCGATTGCATCTCGATTATCACGTAATCGAGGAGATTGATCCTCCATGTTATGAGCGTTCAGGCTGTTGGCAGGTCCCGAAACAATCGAATCCAATAGGGACACATTCAATAATCCATCGAGATTGGTTGTGCAGGGTTGCTCCGAATCTTCTAAACGGTCGGCATTCGTCCGAACTTCCGGTAGAACGTCGTCCGTGAGATAAGTGCAGTCGAATGACGGCAGAATCGTGAAGGTAAGGCATCCTTTCTGGTCTACAGTTAACACCTCCGGTTCGACGGTGATTTTTGTGTACTCGATCGAAAGCAGACAAGAATTGCGTCTGCAACGAAAATAATTAAGGATTTAAATAATCATTTTGTTTCTCGATCCGGCGAATCTCGTTCATGTCGAGGAAGTGAAAACTGCGATCGAATTGTGTCCATTTAAACAAATTTTAGCATTTTTATAATTGAAAGCTTTATGTTAAAAAGTTTTTTTTTTACGAAAAGTCACGTGATTGAATGAACTTTTCCATGCTACTGTGCTACCATGAGGAGAGGGTTAACCATTACCGACAACTCAAGCGTTTTCATTATCTCTGCCTCATTAGACTAAACTTTTTTTTTTCAACAATAGTTATAGGTACTCACTCTTTTTTCAGATCGATTCTGGAAACGTCCCTGTGGCAAATCTCCAGATAAACCGTCATCTCCAAAGAGTCTTTCTCGCGAATAAGGGTGACGCGGGCGCTAAACCTTATGGTTGCTGGTTGAAAGTTAACATCCAACCATAGACCGTTCGAATCTTCCGGTTTCATGAATTGATACAATCCGATTTGAGCATCTTCGACAGGAACCGAATACGCCGCAAACAGAGGGAACTTGTCCTGCATTCCATTGATAAAAGCTCGACATTCCTAGACAAATCAGAACATAATTAGATACCTACTAACCTATTTGAAAGTTAAAAAAATATAACATTGTCACTCGACAGCTCGGATTCGTCACATCCAGACGCTGTCTCTTACGTATTCCATTTATCGCGCCGTCGCGAGTGTTTTTCGTAGTGATTAGCTGTGAAACACATCGAGTCCGCTTCTCGGTCAACCTGGGAAGCGTTCTACAGTGGATTTCGGCCTGAGGGCAACGCGGTCAGTGGAAAAACCATAATTTAATGAGTGCCATCAACAGCACAGAGACGCTATCTTCGTGTCAGCCATCGCTGCTGACGATCATACGATCGTGGTGAAAAAGCTTTCAAGTCTGCGATCGACATAAGTGAATTACGGACTGCCTATCGAAAGGCGAAGATATTTGAGGTGGTGATTCGATAACCGTCGCCGTGCGTAGTGTCGCACTGCGTGTTATTCTTTCCTGTGTGGTGCGGTGCTAATCAACCGAAGAGTGATCGTCACAGGGATAGTTTTTTCTCTCCCCTCCAGCCATGGAGCTGGATAGGGATTTTCCTCACCTCCCTGGAGACACCGGGGGAGGATCAGCAAGCTACATCGATGGATCTCATGCTGGAGCAACGTTACCCAATTACATGGACCCCCATGATGAACACGGTGAGATTGTTGTTTTGAAGTTACAGCCTGTTACCGGTAAATTACCGGAACATCCTTTCATGCTGCGTTCATCGGTAGAGAAATGGATAAACGGAAAAATTGAAGGTGCGTTTCCGGAAGCTCAAGGACAAGCCTATGCCCTGAAAGTCAGAAGTAAGTGGCAACTCAATCGACTTCTAAACATGACCCAACTAAACGACGGTACCGCAGTAAAGGTTACTAAGCACACGGGCCTAAACAGCGTCCGTTGCGTAATTAACTGCAGGCAGATGATGAAGGTCGATGATGAAGAAGTACTGGACTACATGAAGGATCAGAAGGTGACGAGCTTCCGGCGGATTACTCGCCGGAACGGTACTGAACAGGTTAACACGGCGACAGTCATACTAACCATCGAAGGTACCAGGATGCCGGAGCATGTAGACATAGGGTATCTACGGGTGAAGACGCGGCCGTATTATCCGGCCCCGATGCTATGCTACAATTGCTTTGTTTTCGGACATACCAAGGCTCGCTGTCAACAACAGGTTCCAACATGCGGCAACTGCTCTAAGCAACATTCGATCGTTGAGGGTGTTAGGTGCGCAGATAACCCGTTCTGTCCCCGCTGCAAAACCATTGAACACTCCTTGTCGAGTAGAATCTGCCCCGTTTACAAAAGCGAAGACGCTATACAGCACATCCGAATCGATAAGGGGATCTCATATCCAGCGGCGAGGAAGCTGTTTGAGGCCTCGACGAGTCAAAGATCCTATGCCGGAGTCGCTAACGCCAGTAAAGATCAGGCGTTCGCAGACCTCTCAGCGAAGTTCGATAATCTCTCCAGCCAAATGGAGGAAAAGGACCGCAAGATCGCAGCCTTGGAGGAAAGGCTGCAACAAGGACCTACGACCACTAGCAGCTCTGAAATGCATGAACTCCGACAGATGATTGCGGACCTGCGAACGGAGGCACTTCGCAAAGACGAACGTATCCAAGCCCTGGAAGCAGCCCTAAAACGGGAAAATCGAATGGACATCACACGTAAACACGGGCCATTGAGGATTTAGTCGCCAGAGTTAAGATACTTGAAGCCGCCGTCTCCAACAAAGATAAGGAGGTCACTAATCTCCGGTTAGTGAACCAACAGTGCAAGGAACTCATCGCACAGTCAAAATGCCCGAAACCATCTGTACCAAGAGAAGACAAAAAAAAAAGGAGCATGAACAACAAAAACCCCAATCTCAGCAACCAGAAAAACCCACTGGAGCGAAGAAAAAGATACTCAAGCAGACAAGCGGTGGAGCAGATCCGAAACGACCAAAAAACCACCCTACACCGGCATACATATCTGACACCGAAGTCGAATCCCAGACTTCTCCCTCTGGAGATAAGATTACCGTCGACGAGCTCATTTCCTCGGAAGACGAGGTGATGTCCGTGGAGGGTAGCCTAACTCCAATGGAAAATTAAACCTCCGCAGTCCAGTCCGTCTTCTAACGCATCAGAACCGAATTCCCACAACCTATCCACCAAGATGCATCCTACATCAACATCATCCTCTACTGAGGTTGAGAGCTATCAACAACCAGAGCGGACTGGATCTACCCCAACTATCAAAACAACGACATCGACCTCCAACGCACCGGATAAGGCCTCGGGCAGTCGGGGCCCTGTCAGTGCGGATGCCATGGACCAACCGGAACTGGCAGACACCCCCCGACGCTCGTTGGCAAACTCCGACGAACACCGAAACCCTACCAACACAAACGACACGACTCGTTCCACCATCCCGGTTGAGCCACGGAGCAGTCGAGGCCCCGTCGGTGCGGAAGCCTTTGCCACACCGGAACCGCCGGACAACCCCCGTCACCCTGTGGCTACCGGAAGAGGGACGGAAAAGGGAGGCAACTCCTATTCCCCTGAGGACGACGTGGGAGTCAAGACAACTCTAGCCAACACTATACATACCGAGATTCAAGAACTGACGACCAAGCTGACGAATCTACTACTGGTAGGTCCCTCAGTGAAACCTCACTTGAGTAGAATATCACCGCTTATGGGATCAAGAGCCCATCCCCCTCTGGACTACGTGGGAGTCAAGAGGGACGAGTCTGTCCAAAAACTATCACCGAAGGATGAAGTGAGAGGGAAGAAATCTCTAGCTAACAAAGTTACCGATGCAGCCGGGAAATCCGTGCCGGCGTTCAAAAACTCAATGCCTTCTTCCGGTGGAACCCTACCGGGTTCCGCTGTCATTCGTAGTGCGACGCACAAATCAACAAAGGACGATGGAATCAGAACTCCTTAAGTGCGTAGGAGAGTAGCCAGAATCAGATCGGGAAAGGCACTTCCCATTAGTGTTCTAGTCTGTGCGGATGCCTACGACAAAATGCAGCACCAACGGCTGGGAATTCCTTCTCCTGAAGCGGGCCCCTCGAATACGCCTTCGTCAAATGAGCGAGCAAGCCACGATCGCCACAAGCACCCAACTTCACACCTACTAACAGGAACCCTCACAATGGGGAACCGTTATAGAATGCAACCAGGTCAGTCCAACACAAGCCTACTGGAGGCTTATCCCCTCACGAAACCTCCCCTCGGTAAGAGGACACCTAAGGATCCAGTCCATTATCCTACCCCTGCAACACGGATCCCTAGAAACCCAACGAACAAACTGTCAAAAAAAACCACCGCTTTCTATACAGTGGAATATGAACGGCTTTTATAACAACCTTCCAGACTTAGAAATCCTAGTTCGTGATCAGATGCCCTCCATCCTGGCCATCCAAGAGGTCCACCGGGCCACCGTCAGCGGCATGAATCGTACGCTGGGCGGTCAATACCAGTGGACCTTAAAGAGAAACGAAAACATATTCCACTCAGCGGCAATCGGGGTCCTTTCGACCGTTTTGACCATACATCTAGACACAGACCTCCCAATCGTGGCGGTCAGACTCGAACACCCATTCCCGATTTCAGTTGTTTCCGCTTACCTTCCATGCGGGAAGATGCACAACCTTAAACAACACCTCAGCGATCTGCTTCAAGACCTCGAACGACCCATTCTGGTACTTGGGGATATGAACGGCCATCATCCAGCATGGGGAAGCCCAAAAACCAACCCCAGAGGCTCTACACTTATGGAAGTTGCAGAAGCCTCGGATCTCGTCGTTCTTAACGACGGGTCCATCACTTTCACCAGCGGACAGAGGGAATCCTCTGTAGACGTATCTCTTGCAAGCGCCAGCGTTGTCAGCAGGCTCCTCTGGAATGCCGAGGATGATCCCATGGGCAGTGACCATTACCCACTGGTAATCCAACTCGATGACCGACCGCAGGACACATTACGTAAACCACGATGGAAATACGACCAGGCTGACTGGTCCCTTTTTCAGAAGTCCGTCGACGCCGCATGGTCCAATTCATCACCGGGCAGTATCCAAGACTTCATTAGCTCCATCCATCAAGCGGCACTTTCATCAATTCCACGAACCAGTCCCAACCCGGGATCTAAGTCTCTACCATGGTGGTCCCCAGAGACCAAAGCAGCAGTTAAAGCCAGAAGGAAGGCTCTTCGGGCTGCTAAGCGGCTACCTTCAGACCATCCAACGAAAGAAGCGGCCATGGCCACCTACAGAGCAAAACGCAACGAGTGCCGACAAACTATCCGGTCTGCCAAGAGTTCAAGCTGGGAGCAATTTCTGGACAGCATTAATGCTGACCAGACGGCCACTGACCTTTGGGTTAAGGTCAACGCATTAAGTGGCAAACGGAAAAGCCGCGGAATGGCCATCCGGGTAGATGGTACCACCACTAGAGACCCTGATAAGATCGCCCACGCTATGGGGGAATATTTTGCTTCTCTCTCGGCCATTGACGGGTACGATGATCGCTTTCGTCGTGTTAAAAACCTTTCGACGCACTCCTTGGACAGCATCTACATCCCAGAGGATGAACTACCGCTGGAGATTAATCGGCCTTTCAGTCCACGGGAACTTGACCTAGCTCTATCCAAGGCTACCGGGAAATCGACCGGCCCAGATGACGTCGGGTACCCCATGCTGAAATACCTATCACCGGAATGCAAGACCACACTCCTCAGACTTCTCAATAGAGAATGGCTGGATAATTCCATCCCAGAAGACTGGAGACACAGCCTAGTCGTCCCGATCCCGAAGCAGGGCACCTCGGGTCGCGAACCGAAGGACTTCCGGCCGATATCTTTGACATGTTGCGTCAGTAAGGTGCTGGAGAGAATGGTCAACCGTAGACTCGTGCTCTACTTGGAGAGTAACGGCTACATTGACCACCGCCAGCACGCTTTCCGTCCTGGACACGGAGCCGGGACCTACTTCGCCACTTTGAACCAGGTACTTCGAGACGCGAGAGATTCTGACCAGCATGCTGAACTCGCTACGCTAGACATCTCTAAGGCTTATAACAGGACATGGACACCCGACATTCTTGCTCAACTCACGGACTGGGGTCTGTCGGGCCACGTTCTCCATTTTTTGAAGAACTTCCTCCGACACCGTACTTTCCAGGTATGCATCGGAAACCATAGATCAAGAGGATTCCCAGAAGAGACTGGCGTTCCACAAGGTTCGGTGATCGCAGTTACGCTGTTTCTAATACGGATGAACGGAGTGTTCCACAGCTTACCCAAAGAAATATACATCTTCGTGTATGCAGACGATATCGTCTTGGTGGCAGTCGGATCCACTGTGAAGGCCCTTCGCAGAAAACTCAACGCGGCCACGAATGCAGTTCTACGCTGGACTAAATCCGTCGGATTCCACCTATCGGTGGAGAAATGCGCATATACCCACATTTGTCCGTTCAATCACCAGGTGCTCCGCTCTCCTATCAGCGTCGACGGAAGGATCATGCCGTTTAAGAAGTCTATCCGCGTCCTCGGCATACGCCTGGATCGGCATTTAAACTTTGGAGACCATTTCAACGAAGTGAAAGGGAATTGCCAAACAAGAATCGGCTTGCTGCGAACATTAGCCAGGAGGCATCTAGCGAACAACCGTGCTGTCCGGATGCGCGTGGCTAAAGCGGTAGTCGATTCAAGATTAACATACGGTATAGAACTGACCTGCCTAGCTGCCGACAGGATGATTTCCCAACTGTCCCCGGTATATTATCAGGCCATTCGAATCACATCAGGTCTCCTCCCCTCCACCCCCAGGCTTGCAGCTTGTGTGGAGAGTGGAAGGTTACCCTTCGACAAATTTATCGTTGCTACCGTTTGCAAGAGGGCAGTTGGCTTCGCAGAGAAGACAACTGGAACAAGTGATGGATTGTCCCTCCTTATGGAGGCGAACAAACTCCTGAAGGACGCCGCCGACCTGGAACTCCCCCCGGTAGCCAGGGTCCACTGGTGTGGAGCCAGGGGTTGGAACTCACCCGGACTTTCTATCGACTTGGCGATAAAGAACAGATTCCGGGCGGGAACCAACTCCCCCGCACTAGTGAGATCGGTGGCCGAACTACAACGAACCAAGTACCCAAATCACCTAGCAAGATACACTGACGGATCTCGAACAGGCGGAAGGGTAGGCATTGGGATATCCGATCCGGAGCTACGCACCTTCTACCGACTTCCGGACCCTTGCAGCGTTTTCTCTGCTGAAGCTGCCGCCATACTAGTAGCCGCCACCTCGCCTACCAACAAACCTGTCGCCATATTCTCTGATTCAGCCAGCGTACTAACAGCTCTTCAGTCCGATACAGCCAAGCACCCTTGGATCCAGGCTATCCAGAAGCTCGCTCACAAAGGAACAACTTTCATCTGGATCCCAGGACACTGCGGGATCAGAGGAAATGAGGAAGCGGATCATCTGGCGGCATCCGGAAGACAGGCAAACCTCTATACAAAAAAGGTCCCTGCTCAAGACATCAAGCGGTGGATCGTGACTACAGTATGGAATTGCTGGACAAATGAATGGCTGGGATCTCAAGATCTGTTTATCCCGAAAATTAAAGGGGATACCAGAAGATGGGATGATCCGCCTGAACACCGATCTCAAGTAATTTTATCGCGGCTGAGAACCGGTCATACCAAAGCCTCTCATAACATGGGAGGCGGAGGTCCTTTTAGGAAGCAATGCGAGACTTGCAATGTACCACATACAGTGGAACATTTCCTATGCAACTGCCCCCAGTACTATGGACCACGCATCCAATACGGGATCTCAGCAAGCGTCAGGGACACCCTGAGATATGACCCCTCTAGCACCACAGCGCTCTTCTCATTTCTGCGGGAGACAGGATTGATCAACCAAATTTGATATATGACCCAATATGGACCCAAGCAACGACAACGGACAAAGGATTGAACTACTATTGGCAAAAACCACTGACTCAAAACGGACGAGCGACTATATTAAGATGATGCACGAATAAGGACACGAAAATTGACGGATGATGGCACAAAATTACGCACAGCGACAACAATGGAACTGAACACGGAAAACTACTACACATAAAAGCAAAATCACCACAATAATCGGACACAAGACCACGCGACGACAATGGATTATGACAAGGACCAACTACTAGATACACCGCAAGTTACCTGAATATCTGCCAAAAAAATTAACTCCGTTATTATAACTCTGTCCAACACAATTGTACCCTGTACAGTCAGGGGGGCCTCTCTCCGAAGCCCTCTATCCCTTTTAAGTGACGAACCAGCCAGTGGCTGAAAGTCACTCTAATAAAGAAAAAAAAAAAAAAAATATATAACATTGAAGCAACATTTACCTGCTCCAATGCAAACGACTGCCAATCGAGAACCTGTTCTAAAGGGCCGCCAATATGTCGTCCCAGATCGAGTACGAATTCCTTACGCTCATTCTGTTTGCTGAACGAGAGTGACGCGGAGTGCGCCAATTCCACCAACTGCAGTTGTATTTTAAAGTATCCGAATCGCCTGAATTGCGAAAGCAATTTTTTGCTACAATAAAAAAAAACGAATTAATAAACATAAATATCGATCATTGCTACTACTGCAGTCCATACAAGTGATTCCCACAATATTGAATGACTTGCAACGTTTCCTTGCAAGAGATCCTTTCAAAAATCTCCAGCAAGCCTTGCAGTGCAATCACCACTGTTTGATACGGCGCAGCCGTAATGCAGCAAATCACGCAGAGAGTTTTCACAATCGTCCCTAGCGCATCCGTTTCCAGTGGTTTGTCCCGGCGATCGTTAAGAAATATCTTCGAATCAGCAAAAAAAAATTAACCATCAAAATAACATGCACTGGGTGGCGAGAGGAATGTCAATCTTACCACAACACACCGCAAATGTTCGGCAAAGGACGCCTCAAAGTGCCGTCCGATTTGGACCAGTTTCACAAAATGGGACAGATAGCGCTTCAGCAGCCGGAATTTTTCCTCCGGATCTTGATGCTGACGCACCAGAGCCAGGCGTTTGCGCAGCCGTGCGTTCAGCTGATCGTAGTCAACATTTGCCATTTGTTATTTCACGATGTTGAATCTTAATTTATAAATAAAGCACAAACGTTTGTTGAATTCACAATATTACAAGAGTAATTATTTATCACATAAATCTAATAACTAAAACGCGAAAAAATGGAAGGAAGTGGATTATTTTCCGACTAAAAGCACGTGATTTTGAAAAGAATGTTTCTAGCTTGCTTTGATTTTCAGCTGATGATGAAATAATTTTATTTAAACACGAAACATTCTAGCGGTATCGGACTCAGTAGTCGAGCAAGGATTTGCCCCAAAGCTACACTGAGTCAACAATGGGATGGATTCACATTTATCGTTGGCCCTCTAAGTGTGAAAAAGTGTAACACTCACGCGACAAGTCGCGCATTATAGCTTAAATCAGGCGTAACATTTGATAACGGCACAAAAACTTTTATAAACAAACATTGTAAGGCCCTATGCGTGCGAAACGAAGTACGCCCACGCAAACCAACAACATCATAAGGTAGGGGCAACTCTCACCTTTCCGAAAGTGGTATTGGTTTGCGTGAGCGTGCTTTGGTTCGCGTGCAAAGGGCCTTACAACGTTTGTTTACAAAAGCTTTTGTGCCGTTATCAAATGTTACGCCTGAAATATTATTTTTCGTAGCTATGAAACTATGAGATATTATAACGATAATTTGTATGTGTAAGATACAAGAAACGGATATAAAATGTGTGTATTAGTACGTTCAGACTACAGAGTTATAACATGTTATAGCGCTATCTTGATGGTGGTTTCTGTGTTGCAATTATTTGACAACCGTTATAACATGTTATTACTATCCAGTCTGGACAGCGTTTATGACACATAAAACCTGTCAATTTCACTTTCAGAGGGTCACAATTAATCATGTTTTGTTGTTTTTGACGTCATCCACATCCACATCCAGAGGGCCAGTCACTTCGATTGTATGGGAATGGTAGGAAACCATTTGGAAATGCATGAAAATTTTCAGTGTTTATTCATTATCGTCTTTATGGGCAGTTTTAGATGCACAACAATTGAACGAGTATATTACTATGGTGATAAGGTAAACACTCGTTTATTTGTTTCCTTATGTAAAAGCATGTTTAGTCACAAATCGTGGATTTTCTGATATTCTCCATACTGCAAAAATGATTTTCCTACCACTGAAGGGGTGACATCTCTCGGATCTTCAGTATAGCTACTAAATACTCAAATCATATAATTAATTATCGATTTTATGATCGCTGAGTGCTCACTCAGCGCGAGCGCTCAGCGATCATAACATCGCTAATTGAAAGTGAAATTGACAGGTTTTATGAGTCAGACAGAAAATTTACAAACTCTTCTTGTATCTTACAAAAACAAATAATCATTATAACATTAAAAATAGTATTTAAGGGGGTTTTCCGGTTCAAATGACCTAAACTTTGGATTTTTTTTTCAGGGAACTGGTAAGAGTTAGAGACCTGAGTTTTTTGTCAAATCTTTATTCATTCTTGCTCTACAACTGGGAATTTTTTCAAGTCCAAAAATCCAAAATGGCGTCCAATATGGCGGCTGCCCAGCGGGTACTTCCCAAAACTGCGAGCAGCCTAGAGGTCGCAAATTGTCACCTAGAAAGAAAATCGGCTCAGTTTCTTGAAGAGTATAGTTCAGAGAATGGAATGAACTAGAATCTTTGAAAAATCTCAAAATTTGACAAAATGGCGGGCATTTGAAAAAAGTCATTTACCTAGTTACCGCCATTTTGTCAAATTTTGAGATTTTTCAAAGATTCTAGTTCATTCCATTCTCTGAACTATACTCTTCAAGAAACTGAGCCGATTTTCTTTCTAATCTTTGGATCGACCAAGTAGAAGGCGACCTGCTGACCCTTCGCAGACTACGAGGCTGGCGACGTGTGGCCATGGATTGAGTAGAGTGGAGACGACTTCTTCGGAAAGCAGAGGACAACAAGGCCTTAGCCTGATTGGTAATGTAAGTACAATGATTGGTAATGTAAGTACAAAATTCCTTTCACGTATATAATGTTTTATACAGCTTCTCAAAATGCTTCGAAATTCCCAAAACTTTTACAAAGTTTGCTGCACTTCTACGTTTCTCGTTGATTTTCCGCGAAGTTCTACGTATGGAATTTTTTGAACTTGTACGTAATTCCCTTAACTATTCCAAGCTCATGAGGCTTCAAAAAAGTATGTAGTTAGTCCTGCTAAATTCCAGACTCCAAGTGATACGTAAGGATAATTCCAAGGTAGTCTTGAGTAAAATCTCAAGAGGATCATGAGTAGGATTCAATGTAAATTGTCAACAGAATTCTGAAGAGGGTTCCAAGGTCCTAAGAGAATTCCAAGTGAGTTTTAACTAAAATTTCAAAGGAGTTTTGAGTACACTGAGGCAAAGGAACGTAATAATTCCATAAGAACCACTTATGAATTTTCGACAAAAAGATTTCTTTTGAAAATCATGAGTTAGCTTATGAAGCTTAAAAACAGTAATATACAATCTAGGAGACCGCAATCGAACCCTGAGCGTTCAGATTATTGACTCCGTGATTTGCTCTCGCACTTCTGTTAACGCTTGGGAAATTGAACAGGTTAAAAGCGTTTAAGAACCATACTTGTACTCCCTTTGGTAGTACGATAATCATTCATAAGTCTATATGTGTCTTATGGAATCAAATTTGTCCAGCTTCATAAGTCATGTCTTAGGGTTTGTTTGCCTCAGTGTATGATTCTACGAGATGTGTATAAAGCCCTCTAGTTAAAGTATGGACGACTGTCACCAAAAAACTGAAAAAGCTGTTCCAATCGAGCAAAGCGGTGCATTTTGACGGTTCGATTGGAACAACTTTTGACAGACGTCCATACTTTTACTGTAGGGCTTTAGATGTTTAAGGAGAACTCGAAGGTACTTGTGAGTGGAATTGATCATTTTGTCAAGCTTCAGCATTCATGTTCCATCAGATGTCACAGCTGTTGTTTGCGTTGACATCTATCGGAAACTAGACACAATCTGTTTTCCTATAATTGTTCACAGAGGACACTGCAGTGCAAAACATGTCTGGTACCTCTATATATGCATTTAGATTATTATTCGAAGTCCCTCCTTTTTTACACATTCTGCCCACAAATTAGCTCACCCCTCACAGAATTTCCCGCCGAATTGTATGTATGGGGCGGGGCATAAAGTATCTTTTGCGCAGAATATGTAAAAAAGGAGGGACTTCAAATGT